ATATAACTAAAAATGTATTTAGATAGAAACTAGTTAGAAAATAGTTCACTTATAAATTATCTAGATAACAGTATAGTATTACTTTTATATACATGAAAAAAAAAAATTAATAATCATATTTTCATTTTTATTATAATTTATCGATATTTTTTAAGAAAAATTATATTTATCAAATGAATTTAATTTATATTAAATAATAATATAATTTTTCAATGACAATTTTATATATTATATACTAGATAAGTACATATGGTAAATATTTAAAATTACATGCTATAAATTATAATGGTATAGTTGTAATGAATTTTCGAGAATCGAGATAGGTTTGTGACACTTGAAAAACTATATTATTTTCCAGATGCGTGGTGATCGTGATTGTTAAGAGTTGGTTTCCCAATTTCTTTAACGGACATTCGGACGAGTAGGTTAAATGTTTAAAAACTTGATTTTATGAAGCTAATTGATTATATTTAACTTAATCATGTCATTTTAAATGTATTTATGTATAGTGTACACATGGCTTATACATTACTATTCAAATATACATATCTAATAAAATAATTATTAAATAAGAGCAAAATGTTTTAACATTGTATCATTGTGTAACAAATAGGTAGATATCAAATGCATACGATAACACATATTTTTTTTGTTAATTTCTTCCAAAACACTGAACACTATAATTATCATAATCATGGGCACTTTTATAGCAGTTAAATATCTATAATTATTCATTAAATATATTAGCTAATAATCAAACCATTCAAATCAAACTTAATACATATTATATATCCTATATATGCGTGGGCACATATTCAAGCAAGTTTATTAAAAATGTTATAATATAAGTTATATTTTATTCAGTTAAATATAATAAAGTTAATGAAAAAATAGAGCCGAGGTTTCAGCCTTTCCAAATTGACACCACGGTATTGCAAAACGCGTTCACAAGCTTTTGTTTATATTGTGTTTCTAATTTAAATAATTATCGTTTTGCGTTTGATGACGATTCTTTATTTAATAAATGATTTCATCAGAGCTAGCGACTAAATCACAAATCACGACTTAGTCGATTGGTCACATAGTTATATGCGCATATTAGCATATTATATACCTACCTTTATGTCAATTGATACCTACTTCGTTTTCAACATTCGACATATTGATGTGTGCAGTTTATTCATTGACGTAATACGCTTTTTCGTTTGTTCGGGTTTCGATATTTGTTCGTATTAACTACGATATACGTATTCCACCGTATTTTTTGTGTTCCTATACATATAATATAATCTATTTGATCAGTTGATAAAACAAAACCGGAAAAAAAAATCATAATAACACGTTTAAATGTTTAATAACTGTATATTATTATATAAGTGAAATTTTTTATTTCATATAAACATGCGATAATATTACGTATAACGAGCGTATTACCTTTATTACATTTATTAACACGTCCGTTGTTATATTTTTATAAATCACACGTTCTAATGTATTTCATGTGTACATAAACATATACATATAATAATAAGACTACAATGCTGTTTAAATAAAAAAACCACTAGATATTATACTCTATTGGATATTATCTATTATGTAATATATATTTATGCTTATTTTGGGGAATTGCCTGTATAAGCTATACAAGTATTGCTGTATAATATATTTCGGATATGCAAAAACTGTAACGTTATCCGTTTTATCATTCCGCACGACATTTTATGCACATATAAAACCGACATAGAACAAACGCGTCGTATATATAATATATAGTACTGTAGCGCATTTCCGTATTGTAGTCAACGCGTTTATAACACACATACACACACACACACATATATATTATTATGTTATATAAAATAATATGATAAGAAAAATAAAGAAAAATAGCGAAGCTTCTTGTTTTTGTCGCATTCGCATTTTTCGATACATAAAATATCGTACTGTGTAATATATTATTGTTATTACGTATGGTGGAATCTATTATAGATATATGGTATTAGATGTGCACTGCTCGAGGTTTGCATATGGATTCGATCGTATTGCCGAAAGTGTTTTCATAATAATTTGAGCGTCGAACCCGTTTTCCGTTGTGCCAAGCCGCCGACCATATCCGATCATATTTTTATTATACATAAACACGATGCACATATCAATATATATATATATAAATTTCATATTTATTTCAATAATGTATGTTATTCGAACGTATTACGCGTAAACACAAACACATAACATACATGGCATAGTTTATGGTATAATGCATATAGATACAACGAATATTGCACAACAATAGGAATCCAAGTCGCGTGGAGGATTAGGTGAATAATAATAATAATAATAATAACATTATGACGGTCTTAGGATTTCAATATCGTGGTACACATAATATATTGTGATATACATATATGTGTATATACTATAATATATATACATACATACATTTATATTATATTTTATGACGTATATATGTTGTATACGCGCATGGCGTTCATTCGAGCCAATATTGATGCAAGTAATATTGCATTACATTTCGAATAACAACGTAGGTACTTCAGTACTTGATACATATGTCATACTATGTCGTATGATTTACATCAATACATTGAGAATAGACAAAACTAGGATTAAAATTATGGTTACTAAAGACTCGGAGGAGTGGTGGTTAGCGTCGTTGTAGTCCCATCGAAAAATTAATACAAACAATAAAATAACAAGTCGTTTAATTTATACAAAAACACCCCACCAAGAGCTTAAAACTGTAAGAAATAAAGGATAAGAGGACTATTATAAATTATAATTTAAATACCTAGTACTCCTTCCTACCATCATAGTCGACCTAATGATGATATATGTAGTATGGTGTGTATATTATAATACTCACGGATATTGTGTACGCTGCAGCCGATGAAAATAGTCGAATACGTGTTCCGTTTCAAAAAAAACAAAAATTATTATGTTTGTATTTCTTCAACACTCATTATTATTACAGTAAAATATAGAACAAAAAGAAAAAAAAATGTATAAATTCACCTAACTACACGAATAATGTAATAATAATTATTTAGTAGTATTTTTTTTTTTTTTAATATATTAAATATAAAATACACGTTACACAAAACGGTTATACAGGGCGTATGTGGAAATAATATTATTATTCTATACACGATGTTATTGATTAAAATAATAATAATAAAAAAACTTATACACAATATTGGTAAATCACTATAAATTGAACGACCCTAAAATTGTTATTGACTTTAAAATTATTTTAGAAATACATTTATTACACAAGAACGAAAAAGAAATCATGTAGGTACACATATTTCCTTAAAAATAATAAAACATTGTCACAAGCTTTAATGGTTTTGACTTATCAAATTTACCTATTTATTATAGTCTGCTTATATACACATCGGATTAATCGACAACGTTTCTATTCAAACATATTTATTACCGCCGTAATTTTTTACAATCCAAAAATTTAACAATTCTACGAATTTCGCGTAAATGATAAAAAAATTTTTTGATTGTTGTGAATACAAGTATTACATATTACGTATATTATAGTAAATTATTTTTTTGATGTTGCGTATGAATGATTTCTCAAATAAAATTATGTTTTTATACTATTATAATACATATTATTTCAAGAAATATCCAGCTCATGGAATATCTTGACGGTTTGATGGAATAATTATAATTCTGTCTTCTGAGATCTAGTTTTAAAACCGTGTGTCAAGATTTGTACAAATATAACGCCGCTTTGTACGTATAGGTACTTGATTCAGCAAAACATAAAAATAATCAATATTTTCCAACAGCATTGAAAAATAATTTGATGTTCGGAGATGGTCAATGTTTTTGCAACCGAAGCCGCGCGCGAATTTTTTTAACACGCCTCCACCCATCTCTACCGCACGTGAGTGAGTTGGTATGTATTTTACAAAACGAACACACGTAATTTATTATAATATATTGGACTAGACAAATGGTTCCATTATTGCCATAAAAATATTCGTTAAATATAATAAATATATAGTCAAAAATTATGTTCAAATGCATAATGTGAGTATCGTATACACGCTGTACAAAATACGCATAACATACCGTTTTTACACGAAACAATTAATAATAGTAATAGTAATAATAATGATAATATGTCCGACGGATATATATGTTTATATAATAATATGATAGACTTATATAATATATGTTCATTTAGTACACGATTGGTTGGAGCGTAGGATAAAAAATTTAATATTACAATATACATTGTAACTCGTTGAGATTTGGGGGCTGCGGAGTTTTGGGCTGAATAGTCGAGTGGACCGTCGTTGGCGTCGTTTTCTCGCAATACGCATCTTAAACATACACGGCGCGAACGGCGATCCACTGTGTACGAATATGACGGGTTAGTAAAAAATCGATCGACAAATAGGATAGGTACCAGAAGGGTGGGTGTAGCGACGGGCTGTGTGGGTGCGAGAAGCGAAATGAACATACCTAACGCGATACGGCCATGCATTTTTGAAATAATGGGGCTTGCTCCGCAAGAGTATACGTAAAGTCGCATAAAAAAAAAATAAAATAAATTGTAAAACTTAATGTCTGTCGTTCAAACGTCGAAGATGTTTCGATTTTCCGATAGGCCCATATATATATATGTATATGTATATACATGATAAAATACACATTAATCGTTTCTGTTTGGCGGGGTAAAAGAGATAAGAGGCGTTTAGAGGACAGGACGAAAGGGTAAGAGGAGACGGCGGCAGTATGTACAATTCACACGATATATTATGTACAAAACACGTAAATTATTTACACTTAAATACTGTACAGGGTGCAGGGTTTTCCGGTTTTCTTGGGTGTTAACCACGCGGGAAATCGGTCGTGACACACCCTTTACTTATATATATATATATATATTATACGCTTATATACACAATACAAAACACATACAAACGATGATGACGGCGACGCGCGCAGACGATCGATTAAAGCATGGCCACGGTGGTCGCGTGCATTTGCGTCAATTCGGCGTGTGGCTTGACGGACCGGCCACCGCCGTCCACCTGCAGCTGTTGTTGCTGCGGTTGTTGTTGTTGTTGGTGCTGCTGCTGCTGCTGCTGGTGATGGTGATGGTGGTGTGGTTGTTGTTGTTGCTGCTGCTGCTGGTGGTGATGATGATGATGGTGGTGATGAAGTTGATCTACAGTTAGATTGTCAACGCCCGTGTCCACCTCTTCGCCGTCGTCGTCGTCGTCGTCGTCGTCGTCGTCATCGTCACCGTCACCGTCGAGTTCGGTCACCGCGGTCGTTCCCGTCGGCACCGCCTGCTGCAGACGCACCGCCGTCCCGTCGTCCATTTCCTTTGAACGTCCACAGGCTTCAATCTGTACCGGACGCCTCCGTCCGCCGTTCCGCTTCAGACCGGCGTCCGGGCCTTCGCTGCCGGAATTTCGCCGCCGCCGCCACCGCCGCCCGCGCCTTGTCCGCCGCCGTACTGTTGTTGACACGACGACGACGACGACGACCGGTTGCCGCCGTTGGCCTGCGCCTGCTGCAGTGAACCCGGCGAACCTGCGGGCTGATAACCGCCGAACCCGGACGCGTGTTGCTTGGCCTTGAGCCGGAGGCTGGCGATGCTGCTGGACATGACGTTGCACGGCTCGGCCGGCCGGTGGTGGTACACCGAGTACGGCGTTGTGGGCGGGCAGTACGGTGGCCCGTTCTGCGGCGCGGGCGTCGGCAGCATGGACCCGGCCGCCGAAGTGGCCGCGTTGAAGCAGTTGACCGGCGCCTGGTGGTGATGATGGTTCACCGTGCCCAGCGGGTTCACCGACCACGGGAACGTCTTCGATCCCAACGGGCTCGGCACCTGCACGATACGTCCACACGTTACATGACATTTTATTTTTATTGTACGTATAAATGCCTACAAATACTTTAAGTTATTACTTATAATGTGTGTGATGCATAAACACAATTATCAAACGATAACGGTCATCGTATCGATATTCCATAAAAATAGACCTAGCTACAAACACAAAGACACTCACTCGATACTAAATCGATCACAAAACAAATGAAGTATCTTATGGAAAAAAAAAAAATGAAATAAATTACCTACTGCTTTCAAACAAATTAAGAAGTATAAGATTTTCTATCGTGAAATGGAAAATAAAAGATCAAATGATAACAATCACTCTAGTCAGAATAGGGAAATACGAATCCAACCCTCTCTTTTCTAATCATCAATGAACCTCCCTTAAAACGTGCTGACACGTGTAAGTAAAACGTTACAGTAAATTACATTGTGACTAAATCCCTGATATACACGGAAATACGAAAAACGAATCCTTATTATCCAAGTCTCACTCCGATACGCACTTCACAAAAAAAACTTGGAATCAATACAATTTATTTTCCTGTAATATGAACTTAAGTCAAAAACTGTGCATAATGTAATTTTGTTTTATTCATAATCTGTTTATCTAATCTAAAAGTAAGCCAATAACCATCAGTATATAGCCTTTTAATGGATGATTAAAAATAATAATAATTGGATCTGCAGAGCGATTGCCACGTAGAAATATGAGTGTAATGTGCATTTAAGCCAATTTTAATTTACGATTATTTGGTATTTGGCGACTGTAAGAATTGTGTATCGGCGATGATAGGTTTTAATATCTACATATTATACTATGCATTCGATACCAAGACAAAATTATTTTAAAAATAAACAATATTTTTAATTCTTTTACATTGCCATTTAATCTGAAATATATTTATGATTAAAGAAATAAGATAATTTTTTTAAATTTATTTTGAATTTAATAAAATTGCTTTAACAAAATTGAAATATTATGTTCATAGTAAGTATACCCATATAGTATATTAAAATGAGAGGGAAAATATATTTTAAAAACTGGCCAAACACATTCCTGTAAATTAGGCACTGAAATAGAAATTTGATGATATTATGTAACTTGCAAAAAATAAAAATTTTAAATTTTGTAGGAACTTAAGAAATAAAAATGTGATACATAAAGTAGCAGAGAAAAAACACAAATGCATTACCACGTAAAATATCTGATCGTCGTACATACTAATGATCATTTTTTTGTACTTCGGACGTTTACTTACTATAATACTCGTATGATAATATGATGATGTGATAAAATTTATATTCTATATAATCTATTATGTTTATATAAAATCTCACCTTGGTCGCCCAATTATTGTACGACGTGTAAGCTGTACTGTACAAAGAGTCGGTGTCAGTAAATGGTTGCATGAGACCATTGAATTGCGTTCCAAACCCGTTCTTAAAGTCCACGGCCGCAGCCGCTGCGGCGTTCATCGCATTTCTTTCGCGTTTCCGCCATTTGGCTCTCCGGTTTTTGAACCATACCTGTGTACCATAAAAATATTTTTAATGAGTTTATATTATAGTATATTATGCAATCGTATAATTTTATTTTTATTTTTTTAATAAACAATTCATAGAAATTAGTATATTTTAAAATAATGCCTTTTCTAAATTATTTTAGACTTTAGTTTTCATAAACTATAAAAAATGATTTTTACGCCGGTATTTCTTATTATAAAGAAATTTTTACGGAAAGATGTACGACTTCCCAATATAAGTATCTAATTGTACCTACATCAGAAGGTGTATGTGAATGTACATAAGTATTTCACTTTATTCCATACGACCAGCATAAAATGTATGTACTTTGCAAGACGTTAAAATAATAGAATTTTGACTTTAGGAAAGGGAATATTATGCACTACAACGATATTCAAATGGTTTATATTCATTATTTAATTTCATTATAATTATTTTAAAATTCAAATTGAAAATAAACCTGATCAAGACGTCAAATTAGCATATTTTTACGAATCGAAAACTAGTTCAATCCCCGCAGTGCGGCTGTACAAAAGTGTAAGCGGGCCTTATTTATTATACTTAAAATAAAAAATAATTTAACTGACGCGCGTTTATTATTTTTATCTGTCTACCATACGGTTTCCATCTCTGACGGAGTTGAGGGATAAAACAAATTACAATAAAAACACGACGCGCTCGACTAATAATGGCTTTGATTTATTCTACCGTGTGTATAACACTTGTATATAAATTTTATGTCGGAATCGTTGTTTCCGTGTATAAGATACGCGCGATTATCATACACTCAAGGGGTGCAGTTAACCGTACAACGATATAATAATAAACGATGTGCGTGATAGATTATGCAATACCCTCGCGCACAATAAAACTCGGTAGCTAAAAGATTTCACTAAGAAAATGTGTTTATTTTATGGCCGGTTCAACAGGTGTAAACGAAAATATGCTGTATTAAAATATGCTAACACCACCATGGTTGTCGCTATGTATATCTAATATATAAATATATAATAAATTAGGTACAAACAATTCGTCGACCGGAATATGTTTAGGAATAGACGAATAGAGTGTATATATACCTACTATGATGCATAATATCGTATATTGATTAACAACAAAAAAATGTTTGTAAGTATTCATTTATCTTTCTATTTTTTTTACTTATAATTACAGTTTCCACAATTATCCTCTGTATTTAGTTTCGTATAGTTAGAGATTCTCGGATAAAGGAAATCTTGAACAATAGCATCACTTAGAAAATGCGTATTTTTAAAAAAATTACGAAAATCTAAAATACTTATATAATTAAGTTTTTCCAAAGATCGACAAATATTCGAAATATATTGTGTTTCTGTGATGTGTTATAAAAATGTCGATTTAAAAAATAATATTAATTAAGTGGTATTGCCGTGATAATAGCTTTATATTATTAGAAGTAGTGAAATAAATAATTATATTATACTATAATATAGTAAAAATATAAGTTTGGTCACCGCCGGTCCCAATATAATACAATATAATATGATGTGGACATTTTTTTTTTTTGCGTTTCGGCCAGATGGTGATACGTATATAGGGTGGGGGGGGGGGTCGAAATCCAGACGCAGTCGGTAGTCTCTATTGTGTGATATATAGTGAGTCGCGGCGCGATCTGCGCGCCTTAAAGTATTCGCGGGGCACATCATCACGATGTTATTATGCGCCTATGATACGCACGCGATACCGCGGTGTTTTGGGAATCTTTTTGCGTGCTCGGCGCGGGAAAAAGGGCGCTCCGGATCCGTCGTTATGCTTCCGCCTCCTGCTGCACCGCGCACCGTCACGACGACGGCGACGGCACGTCATTAATCTTGGACCTGATGGGCCGGCCGTAACGCGCTCGCGGATACCGCAGCCAACGCCGCGGAAGGATGGGACCGCAGAGCGGCGATGCTACAGCCACAGCATCCGACGACGACGGTAAATAACGAGCCTCCGACGGGCGCCCGGCGTTGTCAGCATCAATCAGAAAGCTCGTTAATCTTTATTACCTCTCCGCCGCGCACTCACGACCACGCATATAATATATATATATATATATATATATATATATATATATAATGATGTATAGATGACGACGGCGTGATGATGGGTGGTCGCAGGGTGGTTGAGCGTCGGGTACACCCCGCGTCCGCCGCAGTGGTGAATACTCCCGTCCAATACATATATAGTATATATTATCATGTAATATTATCTATCATGAGGTTGATAATATATATGTATATATAATATATTATATTATGATTATTAGAAATAACATTTTTTATGATGTACACGAAGTGATCGAAGTGAACGCGATGAGTTCACGTGGCATTACGTCAAAATATTCCACGACAAATAAATCATATTATTATGATCACAATAACATAACGCAAAAATTATTGTCCAGGATATTTTTAGTAATTTAAACCCTGTCGAACATTAACATTCCATGTAAATTCTACACGTCATCAGTTCTGTATATTATGTAAATAAATAAATATGTCGTATAAATCAGTGCCGTAATCACGAGAGGATTTTGGGTGTCATATCCACCTGCAGTTCTCCACCCATGACATTTTTTTTTTTTTAAAAGACTAGCACATATCACATTTATGTACCTATATACATTCCCAAAACTATAGTATACTTTATAAAAGTAATTTAAGAAAACTTGAATCTCTAAATACAAGCCACATAAATATATTATATTGTATTGCGGGGTGCGAAAATCATCCATTGAGAGGTCGAATATTATTTTATCGTGAAGCAATGACGCACATCAGCTGCAACATTGTATATTATATAATTTATAATAAATATATATTCAGTGAACTATCTATATAGAGGACAGCTGTGGAGAATTAAAAAATGTCCATTATTGAGAAAACATCTAGATACATAGTGGACATTTGTGAGAAATTACTAAATGTCCATTATGGGTAGACGCTATAAAGAATCAGTTATACATAAACACACACACACACACACACACACATATATATATATATATATATATATATATACATTGAAATTGGTATGTATTGAAATATTTATTTATTATTTATTATATTATATAATATGTATGCAGTAAAAAGTCGGTATAAAAAATTTTGTAAACATTTTAACGTAGGTACGTATTCACATAATGTGCAGCTACATTTGATGACTGAACACATAACCAAACCGTTTGTCATTTTTCGAATAGGAAAATCTTTAAGATAAGATAAAAATATATGAATGAAATGTATAAAAGATAAACATAGTATTTTTATTACTTAAACACTTTTGATTGTGTCCATTTTTGAGAGCTAATTTTTAATTTTGGTATCAGTTTTTAGTATTCACGTCCACTATTAAGAGGTTATAACTTATAACTCCTATTATGTGCATACATTTTTTCTGGGGAGTTTAAAAGTGTTCATTATTGAGAAGAGTTTATTAACTATTGAGAGATGCCCATTTTAGAGGTTTCACAGTTTATATATATGCAATGATAATAATAACTAAGTATTTATTTATATATGTTTAAAATTTACAATCAAACTATGTATGACTATCATAAATTTGTAATAATAATTATGAAAAAATATACATAATTTGTTTTACTTGAAATAACAGTACTAGTAGTACTACAGACTGTCCACCATATTGCAGAGTGTCGTTACTATTTCCATAATATATACAGATATACTATAGTATCAACTGTCAGCATTTTTTATTTTTTCTATGTAACTGTATAAAACGTCCAACAACCAAACAATGTATGGCAGAACAGCGGTTACCTATACTTTCCCCTTTTGTTTTTGTTATCCACGATTATTTAAAAATTTATCATACAATTGTTACTTTGACCTCCTAAAATACCAGCCTAATCAAAATTGTTTTTCCAAAAATCACCATTAAAGCTTAATATTAAAACATATTAACCTATTATTCATTACTATTATAACTTACTGCTACCAAAAATTATGTCACAGAAAAAAAACCACATAGTTGTAAGATCAATAAGGTATACGTTCTTCGCTCCGCTTAGAATCTCAAACATAGATACATATAGATATAAAATAAAACTGTAGATGCGCTATCTTCTGTGTAGAGGATCACCGAGTAGCTAGTATTATTAAATAATATACATAATATATTATTCACAATCCGCATAGTAGACCGAACTTTTCGGTTCGTTTTAAATTTACGATCGCGTATAGTTAAATAATATGACGATACATTTTCATTGTTATTATGTATATTTGCCTCCCGTCGATATGGGCAATTTTTCATTACATCGGATTACACGAGTCAATAACATATCGTGAGGAATAGTAATATCAAACGGTATTTATCGTAATGTACGTACGGCGCGGCGGGTATAATGCGTTAATTTAAACGGATTTAGCGTATTAATGCGCGCGCGGAATATAAATAATAATATACACACACAATAAATATATAAATAACAATGTAACGCGCGTGTGTACACATAAATGCCGGCACGTGTACATATATAATAATACTAGTATATAGGGGGTGAGGGACACGGAATATATAGTAAAGAGAAATAAAATATCGGAAAACCGATTGTAATAACGTTCGGCAGATCGGTGGTTAGTATAAAATATATGCACATATTATAATATTATACATATATATATATATACATACATACAGTACACGTTTTAAAATCTCGTCAGGTCATAAATTGATTCTTTTACTGTCTCGGGGGGTGAGAGGGACCACGGCTAGAGCACATCCCTCACGATATACAGAGTGATTCACCCAGTGTGCTTAAACCCTTTTTCTATTATTAAATACTCGTATAGTGTAGTCATTTAAAATCAGATTTTTGAAATTTTCAAGTATACTTTAAGACAACATTTTAAAATTCTTGATATTTTGTTATAAGGAGTGTCTTATGGAGATACAATCTTCTGTTTTTCAAATGAAAACTTCCATTTTCTACTGTAAATTATTTCGTGAACAATTTT